CACTCACCTCAGCCTCCCAAAGCGTGGGATTACAGGCTGAACCACCGAGCCTGGCCTGCCATCTATTAACTGTGAACTTGGGCAAATGACTTTGCTTCTTTGAACAACCTCAGCTTCCCTATCTATGAATTGAAGTGATATGGTTATAGGATTAGTTCTTCCAGTCCTTACTAGATTCTAAACTTTTGGAGGGCAGGATCTAGGTCTAATTCATCTCCATATAGTCCTTGTTTTTGGAGCAAGGCCCTGCACATGGAAAGTAAATGCTAGCAAGATGGGTGGATGAATGGGTAGATAAGGGACAGGTGGGTAGGTAGATGGTAGACAGGTGGATGGTGAATGGATGAGTGGACAGTAAAAGGGTGGGTAGATGGTGGGTAGATGGGTGGCTAGTGGATAGGTTGGTTGGTGGGGGGGATGGGTGGATAGTGGATAGATAAGTTAGTGGAGGGTGGATGGGTGGGTGGATGGTGAATGGGTAGGTAGATAGTGGGTGGATGGGTGGACGGGTAGGTGGATGGTGAATGGATGGGTGGGTGGGTGAATGGGTGGATGGTGAATGGATGGGTGGATGGTGGGTATATTCAACTCCATTACATGCTCAGAAGACTCAGCAGGGAAGGGGGCAAAGGAGAAAACTGATGTGGTCATCTCAGGTGATATCCTGGTGGGTCCTCTGTCAGGAACAGCTCCTAGAGGGTGCTCTTTTGCATGAACTATAGCTTTGACCCCCTGAAGGGGACCACAGCCATGGAAGTTCTGTCTCTCTCAAGTTGATCCAGGTCCTTGCCTAGAGAGTATGGAGAGAGAGGGCGCCTAACCTCTCACGCCTATTGTACAATCCCCCTTAGATTTTAGCTTCATGTGCATGGAAATGAGAGGAGCTTGTGTGGCACCTGCCTCTGGCCCAGACCAGCATATTCAAGTGACACAGCCTAGGCTCTTGTCAAACCCAAACCACCACACCTAGACTTGACCTCACACTCCATGTCTGAGTCCTCCATCTGGTGGCCAAGGGAGTGCTGTGTCTCCCCCAGATCCACATATAGTTGCTCAAGTGTCCGTACCTGTGTGCATCGGGAAAGAGACAGTCAATCTGGCACAGCTGCTGTGGGCATGGTGGCCAGCAGGCCTGGGTGTGAGTGGTGGCTCAACCACTAGAAATGGCTCCTGAGCTTACAAAAACAATTGTGCATATCTCATCCCAGTGCAGTGATGTCTTGTTGGTACGTGGAAATCCACCATGGTGGTAGGCAGAAATGAACAAATGCTGCAAATCAAGGCCTTTATTTCCTTTAGAGAACAGGTCCCAAATCAGGGCTTGCTTGCTTACTTTTTCTGGAGAGTTGCATGTAGCTACCTCCAGTCCTCAGTTACTTTGACTGTAAAATGCAGGACTAGGTCTCCATTGGTTGTGCCCTCCCCCGTAAAGGGCATGTGAATGCCACCTCAAGGGCTGTTGTGAGGATCAGAGGGAAAGCCTAGGTGGTGCCTAAGAGGCTGCAGGACCCACTGGGCACTAACTGTGGCCATCGCCCCTGGCACTCAGAAGACCTGCCCTATTCCAAGCACATCTCTTCCCTTCCAGAATCTTGGTCAACATGGACAACAACATCATCCAGCATTACAGCAACCATGTCGCCTTCCTCCTGGACATGGGAGAGCTGGACGGCAAGATCCAGATCATCCTTAAGGAGCTGTAGGCTCAAGCATCCAACCCCTCAGCCCTTGGTGTAGGCTCCCGGCAAGGGGCCGGCAGGGACAAGGCCCACACCACACACAACCTTTCCACGTGCCTCAGTGCTGTTACTTGAACACCTTCCCTGAGGGAAGAGGCCCTTGAATCACAACCCACAGATGTCAGGGCCAGGAAGAGCCCTCAGCAGTCTCCTGGTCATGGCATGCTTGAATCTACTCACTGGACTTCTTGCCAGTGGCTCCCCGTCCACCCCAAAACAATGCCATTGTGGTGACCACAGCCCAGCAGACTGTTTCCTCCCCCAAAGACCCTCCCCTGCAGGGGCATTCCTGAAGACTGCCCTTCGGACTGTGGAAATAGCCCCTCGCTCCTGCAGCGTGCCGCCAGCTGACTGAACTCTGTTCCGGCCCCTGTGCGCCATCTTCCTTCAACGTCAGACGAAGGACTTTGCACCCTTTGGTCAGTTAACTTGAAAACTTGATTTTCAGTGCAAATGACTTTTAAAAGACACGACGGTGGAAACGGTTTCTTTCTCAGATTCCCTCAGTGCACGATGTAAATAACACGGATGACTGACTGGAACAAGTGACCACTATGTATAACTACCGCCTTGCCACTCTTTGTTGTGTACATTTCTTATTTACAATTTTCATTTGTTTTATATATATATATATATAAAAATATATATTGTATATATATGCAACATTTTGTATTTTTCATGGATATGTTTTATCATTTCAAAAAATGTGTATTTCACATTTCTTGGACTATTTTTTAAGCTGTTCTTCAGTTATGCATTTTGTATACTCATGTCGTATTTAGTAATAAAAGCAACTATGTATTACTTCACATGTGGCATTTGTTCCTTCTGGGAAGTCGTCTGGGAAGAGAGGCCGAGGGGTGAAGAGGCCTCTCTCCTTTCTCTTTCACCCTGGCTCTGTGCTGGGAGCAGATTATCCTGGACTTGAATATGGTGGTCAGTGCACGGCAGAGAGGTACCCACAATGAAAGGCCGCAGAAGACCCTGCTCTTTGCCCAGGTCTTTGTCTTGGAATGCATGACGTCAGGGTCACTGACTCGAGATGAAGTCCTGGGAAGGGTCCAGGGTGAACTTGATGAGAACCTCACAGCTGGGACCTGCAGGCAGCGTCCAGGGCTGGGAGCCATGTGGTCTGAGTCTTGTGCCAGCCCTGCCCCTACTCATTAGGCCAAGCTGCTTTTCTTGGAGCTGCCTCCTGGGTTCACAAAAACAACTGTGCACTTCTCATCCCAACACAGTGACGTCTTGTTGGTACATGGAAATCAGCCATGGTGGTAGTCAGAAATCAACAAATAAAGGCTACAAATCAAGGCCTTTATTTCTCCTAGAGTACAGACACAAATCAGGGCTTGCTGGCTTTTTCCAGAGAGCCAACTTACCAGCATGTAGCTACCTCTAGTCCTCAGTTACTTTGGCTATAAGATACAGGATATGGTCTATATTGGTTGTTTATAACCGTCTTCTGAGCCTAGGGTTCACCAGTGGGCCACCAGGGCCACCCCAGCGAGGGGCAGGGGCAGCAGGCAGGCCCTGAGTATCCTCCCTGACTCCCATCAAAGCAGCTCACCTTTTCCCACTTACACATTCGGGTATCTTGTAAATGTCCGTCTGAACTGAACTTCTCTAGAAAAGTCTGAAAGCCTTGGATGCCTCTAAGAACCTCCCAGCTCTGACAGAGTCTGTGGTCCTAATTCCCAAGCCCTGCCTAGACTCCAGGCTATGGCAGGTAAGTCACTAGCCTAAGGCACAAAAGTTAAGGGACCAGAGAGCTCAGAAATCAAGATAAGTAATAGGGCAATGCAGTGTTTTTGTTTAAGGCAAAAAAAAAAAAAAATCCACGATGAACAAAATATCAAAATTGTAAAGACAGGATTAGTATTCCTGATGTCTCCTTTTGTCCCAGGCTCCGAGGTGGCTTGCCTGGCACTGCAGGAGAGACCCCGTGGAGCATTGAGTCGCTTCGCCCAGCCCAGGCCTTGCTGCTGCTGTGACACTACCCTCTGTGTCAGAGCCGGGTGACGTGCAAAGGTTAACTGACAGTTGTGCTTAGGAGCTGCGCGTTAGTCCTGCTTCCTGAACTTTCTGCCGGCTGCCTCCAAGAGCCAGGCAGGAAGCTGGAAGGTGACTCTTCTCAACCTCCATGGTCCACTGGAATCAACTGGGCTGGGCAGCTTTCACCACCGCCCTCCTCCTCACTGCTCAGACCCCACCTTGGAGCAGTTAAGTTGGCATTTGTTGGGGGTGAGGGCAGCAGTACTGTTGAAGGTCCCCAGGTGATTACACTGTGCAGTCGAGTCTGAGAACCCCTGTGCCAGAGAGGCCACACTGCACTGCTGTGAAGCCTCGTAACCTGTCAGCGCCTGGTGGGATTCATGCCCATAAGGACCTACCAGTGTCAACGCAAAGCCTGCTGGGAGCTTAGGAAGGCGCCTGGCTGCTCCCGCCTCCCACATATCTATATAGTAGCCTCCAGCAATGCCACCAGGGCACGTTTCTTTTTCCCCTCCAAATGTATCTTTATGTGGGGTTGTCAGACCTAGAAAGGCCATTTGGACTCCAAGGAGTGCCCTGCAAGTCTTGAAAAATGTAGCCCTGCCCTTAGAGAAAGCCTTGAGCCAGCAGCTGCCATTCCAAGATTATCTGTCCCCCTCAAAGAGTGAGAAGGTGAAAGGAGTAAAGATATGGAAAGGCCTTTCCACACAGGTGGGCATTTTCAAGAGTCTGCTATTGCTGGTGAAGAGAACATCGCCTGCCTGCAGGTCGTGTTCACCCAGTAGACATGCAGTGAGTGGGGGAAGTCAGAAAGGGACAAACCGGGGAGGCAGTAGGGAGGGAATGAATGCATGCATGAATGAAACAAGGAGAGGAGACAGTGGAGGGAAGGAAGAAGGGAAAAGAGGGGGAGGGAAGGAAGGAAAGCAGAGAAGGAAGGAGGCAGGGAGCGAGGAAGGAAGGAGAAGGGAAGAAAGGAGGGAGGAAGGGAAAGTAGACCGCTGCACCAGTGGAAGGCCAGCTGAAAGCCGAGCAGGGCAGAGCATTGTCAGACCTTTGCTTCTCTAGCGTGGCCCATGGACCGTGCATCAGCATCCCCCTGGGAATCTGTTAGAAATACAGACTCTCAGGCCCCACCCCAAACCCTACAGAATCTGCATTTTAATAAGATCTCCCAGTGAGTTGCAGGAACATTAAAATTTGGGAAGTATTTTCTTAAACGATCAGCGTACCCTAACCCTAGCTAGATACATTGCAACCACACCAAGAACTTTAATGAAGACAGCCATGCCCGTACCTGACCTCAGGTCAATTAGATCATAATTCTGAGGGCTGGAGCCTGGCCATACTGCCTCCATGACAGAATCCCTGACTGGACGGAACTGAGAGCAGCCTGTGACCTTGTAAGAGCAGCTGAGTGTAATCAGGGCAGACCCTCTGAATTTACAGCCTCAGCTCTGACTGTGTTGGCAATAGAACATGGATTCTGATTGACCAAGAGCAGCCCTGCTCTCCTGTTCTGTTCCCAGATCTTTCCTACTCCACTTGGAGGGCTTCCTTCTGGAGAGCCTTCACCTGGTAGAGCTATCTTGAGGGGAGATTTGGTGTTCAATACATGACACCAGCCTCTGTCCAAAGGGACCCCAGGGCCAACTGTTGCCAGTCCAGCAGCCCACTAAAGTTGCTAAGGGGACCCAGAGTCAGAGGGACCTACAGTCAAGTCGTTAGGATTTAGCCCCATTGTCAGGGATCTGGGGTCAAACAAAGGCACAGTTTCAAGGGTCAGCTTAAAGGATCTTCCAGAACTCTAGCCCCAAGGGGGCAACTGATGGCTAGCAGAAGAGTTGCCTTTAGCCTGAACAAAAATCTCAAACCAAAGTAGTATTGTTAGCATCTCAAGTCAAGAACTTTTCTGTTTTAAGGATTCCTAGGATCCCCTGATAAAGCTGCAAATCGAGCAACAACTCACCCGCACTGTGCTGGGTGCCCCCAGCCCACAGCAGCCTCAGCCCGGAATCCCCATCCCCACCTGACCTGTTGTGCTCAATGCATTGCCCACCTACCCTGGAAGCTTTTGACCTTGGAGGTCCTGAAGTTTGACCTAGCCCTTCCTTTCAAGAAGAAACTGAGGAAGGACCTGGGTGGGCAGATGCATAAGCCATCTCTGCTTTTAACTCCAGAATTCCATCGCTCCTCACACAGTGCTCCGGGTGGCCTCTCATTCATTCCAAAGTCGTGGGGCCCTTGCAAGCATCTGAAGGTCCCAAAAAGCCCAGCTTTTGTGGGAAGCAGGAATTCAGTTTAATTGGCTATGTTACTCCACCTCTCCTCCCCTGCCCCTCACGCACCCCTCCTCAAAGGAAGGCCAATCAGTGACAAAATTCCACAGGAAGGCCCAGGACTTAAACAGCCACAGAGAGAGGGGAAAGGGGAGAACCCAGGAGAACAGGGGAGAGCAGGGGGAGGCGCCGGAGACTTCCACAAAAAAGGTGAAAGATAGCATCACTGTTTGGGGAGGGAGGGATTGTGTGATTGGTTCTACATATTTCTTCTTGGTTCTCTAGGACTCCCTTCTCTTGCTGAGGGGAAAAGACTTGACAGGCCAGAAATGGTCCTTTAACGATCAGGTCAAGACAATGGGGCAGGACGTCGGGGAGGGCATGGAGGCTGGCCAGGGAGGAGAAGGTCCAGGGAAGTGCCAGCCTGCAGGTGGCAGGGCCTCCCTGCCCCTCAGAACCCTTTCTAGGGCTCTGGCTCCAGCAGGGTCCTGTTCACATGTGCTGTCCAGCACTGAGCCAGTACGCTGAAGCCCACCTCTCTAGAAGGGGTAATGAGCAAAAAGTGACTCCATGAACAGCTTCCATGTTCTTCCTGAGGTGACATACCAAGGGTCATTGGGGGACCAGGGCCTGGAAACCCCTTGGTGTCTCTGACAGAGAAGCTTCTGGGCCTTCCTGGCTCGTGAAACTCAAGGAGGAGTCTGGACGTCAAGGCCAGAAGGATGGGACTATGCCCAGCCCCAGCCTGCACTGTCACACTGTGGACACACGATGGGCCTGGTGCCCAGCTTGGCATCAGGCTTCCAGACCAGGAATCGGCCTCCGGCTGCCTTCTTGGTGGCCTGGCTCTCCTCCTCGGAGTTGGCACTTCAGGAACCCGAGTCTGCAGAGGGGAGTCCTGTCAGAAGCCAGCCTGGGCAGGGATCTGAGGAAGTAGCCAGGACTCTGGCCACTTCTTTCTGCTCAGGAAACCACTGAAGTGGTGGGGGAGGGGTGAATCTCCAGGAACGGCTTTAGTCAAGGGCAATGACAGTCAAAGGCAATGATGCCAGGCTGGCATGGCAGAGCTGCCTCCCAAGTCAGCTGTCACCCAGGCAAGACGCATTCTCCTGAGGAGTGTCCTGTGGAAGCCGAGGGGTGGCCAGGGTTCCCCCGAGCTTGTGCACCATCGCTACAACACTGGGATCCACTTGTTGTCCTCATTGTAGAGGAAGGACTGCTTTCCCGGGAACTCTGGCTTGTACGTAGCTGTGAGGGAGAGAGGGAAGGGGAGAAAGCATGAAGAGAGAAAGGGCCTGGTGTGGAGTCCCTGCATTCCGCCTTGGAGCTGGAAAGGCCAGGGGCCCCTGCACCAGCCCCTGCATCTTATGTGAGGGGAGACAGGGGAAGGGCTGGCTCAAGGCTACACAGCTCTTAACTGGCTGAGGTGGGGCTCAAACTCTGACTTCCTGCCTTCTTTAATTCCTTTTAACTTCCTTCAAAGAACAAGCTGGGAGTGGTAGCACATGCCTGTGGTTCCAGCTGCTTGGAAGGCTGAGGTGGAAGGATCGCCTAAGCAAAGCAGGTCAAGGCTTTGGTGCTGGCCATGATGGTCAAGAGTGAGACTCCAGCCGGGCTCGGTGGCTCAGCCTGTAATCCCACGCCTTGGGAGGCTGAGGTGAGTG